GAAAATAAAAATAGATAAACCCTTAGCCAGATTTATCAAGAAAAAAAGAGAGTCTGCTCACATAAAAAGAATCAGAAATGAGAAAGGAAAAATCACTACAGACACCACAGAAATACAAAGAATTATTAGAGAATACTATGAAAAATTATATGCTAACAAACTGGATAACCTAGAAGAAGTGGACAACTTTCTAGAAAAATACAACCTTCCAAGGCTGACCCAGAAAGAAACAGAAAATCTGAACAGACCAATTACCAGCAATGAAATTGAACTCGTAATCAAAAAACTACCTAAGAATAAATCACCTGGATCAGATGGCTTCACCGCTGAATTTTATCAAACATTTAGTGAAGACCTTATACCCATCCTCCTTAAAGTTTTCCAAAGAGTAGAAGAAGAGAGAATACTTCCAACTCATTCTACAAGGCCAGCATCACTCTAATACCAAAACCAGGCAAAGACACCACAAAAAAAGAAAATTACAGACCAATATCCCTGATGAACATAGATGCAAAAATACTGAACAAAATATTAGCAAACCGAATTAAAAAATACTTCAAAAAGATCATCCATCATGATCAAGTAGGGTTTATTCCAGGGATGCAAGGTAAAACATTCGTAAATCCATCAACATCTTCCACCACATCAACATAAAGATGGACAAAAACCACATGATCATCTACATAGATGCTGAAAAAGCATTTGACAAAATTCAACATCCATTCATGATAAAAACTGAACAAAATGGGTATAGAGGGCAAGTACCTCAACATAATAAAGTCCATATATGACAAACCCACAGCCAACATTATACTTAACAGCAAGAAGCTGAAAGCTTTTCCTCTAAGATTAGGAACAAGACAAAGATGCCCACTCTCCCCACTTCTATTCAACATAGTTCTGAAGGTCCTAGCCATGGCAATTAGACAACACAAAGAACTAAAGGCATCCAGATTGGCAAGGAAGAAGTTAAACTGTCCCTGTTTGCAGATGACATGATATTGTACATAAAAAACCCTAAAGAATCCATCCCAAATCTACTAGATCTAATATCTGAATTCAGCAAAATTGCAGGATACAAAATTAATATGCAGAAATCTGTGGCATTCCTGTACACTAACAATGAACTGTCAGAGAGAAATCAGGAAAACAATTCCATTCACAGTTGCATCAAAAAGAATAAAACACCTAGGAATAAACCTAACCAAGGAAGTGAAAGACCTATATACTCTGAAAACAAGACACTCATAAGAGAAATTAAAGGCGATACCAATAAATGGAAACACATCCCGTGCTCATGGATAGAAAGAATTAATATTGTCAAAATGGCCATCCTGACTAAAGCCATCCACAGATTCAATGCAATTACTATCAAAATACCAACAGCATTCTTCAATGAACTAGAGAAAATAGTTCTAAAATTCATATGGAACCCTGAATAGCCATAGCCATCCTGAGAAGAATAAAGTAGGGGGGATTGTGCTCCCCAACTTCGAGCTCTACTACTAAGCCACAGTAATCAAGACAATTTGGCACTGGCACAAGAACAGAGCCATAGACCAATGGAACAGACTAGAGAGCCCAGATATAAACCCAAGCATATATGGTCAATTAATATATGATAAAGGAGCCATGGATATACAGTGGGGAAATGACAGCCTCTTCAATAGCTGGTGTTGGCAAAACTGGACAGCTACATGTAAGAGAATGAAACTGGATTACTGTGTATCCCCATACACAAAAGTAAAGTAGAAATGGATCAAAGACGTGAATGTAAGTCATGAAACCATAAAACTCTTAGAAGACTACATAGGCAAAAATCTCCTGAATATAAGCATGAGCAACTTTTTCCTGAACGCACCTCCTCAAGCAAGGGAAACAAAAGCAAAATGAACTCATGGGACTACGTCAAACTAAAAAGTTTCTGAACAGCAAAGGACACCATCACCAGAACAAAAAGGCATCCTACAGTATGGGAGAATATATTTGTAAATGACATATCTGACAAGGGGTTAACATCCAAAATATATGAAGAACTTACCCAAAATATATAAAGAACACCCAAAAAGCAAATAACCTGATTAACAAATGGGCAGAGGATATGAACAGACACTTCTCCAAAGAAGAAATTCAGGTGGCCAACAGACACCTGAAAAGATGCTCCACATCACTAATCATCAGGGAAATGCAGATTAAAACCACAATGAGATATCACCTCACACCAGTAAGGATGGCCAGCACTGAAAAGACTAAGAGCAACAAATGCTGGCGAGGATGCAGAGAAAGGGGAACCCTCCTACACTGCTGGTGGGAATGTAAGCTAGTTCAACCATTGTGGAAAGGAATATGGAGGTTCCTCAAAAAACTAAATATAAAAATACCATTTGACCCAGGAATCCCACTCTTTGGAATTTACCTGAAGAATAAACTCAGATTCAAAAAGACATATGCATCCCTATGTTTATTGCAGCACTTTTTCCAGTAGCCAAGATGTGGGTGCCACGTAAGTGTCCATCAGTAGATGAATGGATAAAGATGTACATATACACAATGGAATACTATTCAGCCATAAGAAATAAACAGATTCTACCATTTGCAACAACATGGATGGAGCTAGAAGACATTATGCTCAGTGAATAAGCCAGGCGGAGAAAGACAAGTGATTTCCCTCATAACATGAAGCAAAGCTGAAGGAACAAAATAGCAGCAGACTCACAGACTCCAAGAAGGGACTAGTGGTTACCAAAAGGGAAGGGGTGTGGGAGGGCGGGTGGGGAGGGAGGGAGAAGGGGATGGAGGGATATTATGTTTAGTACGCATTGTGTGGGGGATCATAAGGAAAACATTGTAGCACAGAGAAGGCAAATAGTGAATCTGTGGCATCTTACTGCACTGATAGACAGTGACTCCATTGGTGTTTGGGTGGGGACTTCATAATGTGGGTAAATGTAGTAACCACATTGTTGGGAAAGCATGCAGGCTTTGGCTGTTAATTATGATGGTAGCTATGGATTTTTGGTAAACACCTTTTGTCAAGTTCATTGCATTGATTTAATTTTCATAGGCTGAACCAACCTTGCATGCCTGGGATGCATCTTGTTTGGTCATGGCATATAATCCTTTTTATACATTGCTAGATTTAGTTGCCTAGTATTTTGCTGGGAATTGTTGTGTCTACATTCATCATAGACATTGGTCTGTCATTTCCTTGTGATGTCTTTGTCTGGTTTGGCGTACTGGTCTTAAACAATGAGTTGGGAAGTGTTCCCTTTTCTGCTTTATGGAAGAGTCTGAAGTATAGTTAGTTCTTTTTAAACGTTTGTAGAATTAAAAAAAAAGTTTGTAGAATTTAACAGTGAAGCATCTAGACTTGGGATTTTCTTTCTCAGTGAAGCATCTAGACTTGGGATTTTCTTTCTGAGTAGAGAATTTGCCCTTTTGGTCTTTCTTTTCTCTCTTATTAAATCACTAATTTGATTTCATTAATTGTAGGTCTGTCATATGTGCTGTTTCTTAAGTCAATTTCTGTTGTTTCTTTCAAGAAATTTGTCCATTTCATCTAGGTTATGTAATTTGTTGCCATACGGTTGTTCCTAATACTTCCTTATAATCCTTTTTATTTCTGTAAGATTGTAGTAATGTCCCCTCTTTCATTCCTGAATTTAGTAATTTAAGTCAGTGTAAAAAGTTTTCAATTTTGTGGTTCCCTTCAAAGAACCAACTTTAGATTTTGTTGATTTTTCTCTACTTGTCTGTTCTCTGTGTCATTTATTTTTACAATAATCTCTGATTTCCTGTGCTTGCTTTGGGTGTGTCAATCCTTTATTTTTTCTTCGTTTCTTATGGTGGAAGGTTAATTGATCTGAGATCTCTCTCCTTTTTAAGTGTAAATGTTTATAGCTATTAATTTGTAAGCCCTGCTTTTGCTGAGTCTCATAAAACCATCTTTGTTTTTTCCTTTCAAGGAAAAGAAAGATGTTTTTTCTTTGTTTTGATGTTTGCCTTGACTTGAGCTTTCCTGAGAGATACGAAATTATTGACATTCAATCATTTTTGACCTACAGAAATGGTAAATTCCTGCTGTGTACCCTGATACAAGTCACTTTCACAAGCATCTCATCATCTCCCATTACGTTATCTTATTTTTACAGTCTCAGGAAGATAATGGGGTTTGTCCAAAATCATAGGACTGATATGCATCAGGATAGACTAAGATGTTATTAAAGACCTGAATGTCCTGTAATAACAATTACAAGGAGCTGTTGATCTGATTGAGGGACAAATGTACATGAAAATAATTCACATCCAACCCCTGATAATGCTGTGTCCCAAAAGTGTTAGTGGAAACTGTGCTATATTGATTAATAAGCCTGTCCTTAGACTAGAAGGCTATTGCTCAGATGCCTTCAAACATTTAGTGAGTCCCCATTCTGTGCCTGGCATTTCCTTGAGAGCATGCATGATAAACACAGCCTTGTACCTACTCTGAAGGAGCCTGTGGTCCACTGGAGGAGGGGGACACATGAGCTAGCAGTTATGATATAATAGGATAAATGGTAGGTAAGGCCCCAGAGAAGGGTCACCCAGCCTCTTAGAAAGGAGAAAGGGGAAGGCCCATCAAGGAGAAATTTTGTTTCACACACATTTTGAAGGAGAGGGAACCTTCCAGTTGGAAAAGATGTGGAGGAGGACATTTTAGGTGGGGGAAGAACATGTGCAGAGAGGTGTAGAGAGAAACTGTGCATCTGGAATCTAGAGTGTGCACTGGGCAAGAGCCCAGCTAGAGAGGAAAGTAGGTGATAGAATAAGAAGGACGTGTGTCATAAGGCAAGGAATTGGACCTTTAGCTTTCAGGCTGCTGGGAGTTTTTGAAGGGTACTAGAAAGAGACCTTTAAACTATTTGTCCTGGGTGAGTTTGGGAGGCAGCTGCTCTCCCTAGCTGTATGTGCTGGTAGTTCTTTCCTCACCAGTGAAATGTTCTTCTTTTCCCGACTCACAGTTCACTGAGACTTTTTTGACGGAGAGGGACAAACAATCCAAATGGAGTGGAATTCCCCAGCTGCTCCTTAAACTGTATGCAACCAGCCACCTCCACAGTGACTTTGTTGAGTGCCAAAACATCCTCAAGGTAACTCTTAGGGGACTTGGAGGGGCTGCATTCAGGGCCACCACACAAGATCTCTGTGTTTTTCCTTCTTGAGTCTACTTTTTAAAACAGCCTGTTTATATTGCATAAGCTATAGATAATTTGGGAAGTTCAGAAAAAGTAAAAAGGTGAAAATAAAAATCACCTATAAGCCCACCCCCAAAAATAATCACCATTAAGTTCACTGTGTATGTATGCCCTCCCAGCCTTTATTCTTGCTTGTTTTGTCACATTACTTGCTTAATTTGGGAGTCAACAACATACCCTGAGATTGGGATGACATGCTTTTTGAGCAGGATTTAAAAGACCCCATATTGCTTAAGGTTCATGGAAGTAATCTTGTAGTTGTTGATAATTATGTATATAACAAGAAGATGAAGGGTTTGGGCTCAATGAAGGGATGGAGAGGGTGCCGACATATTCTAGGACAGTTTTCAAACTTGAGTGTCTATCGGAATCACCTGGTAGGCTTGTTAAAACAATGCTGGGCCCCACCACACAGTGTCTGATACGGTAGGTCTGCGGTTACCATATCCAAACTTTAGCTTTGGGGGTCGATCCGAATTTGAATATAGATTATCATTATAGCTGCAGTTAAAACCCATGCAGGTTATATTTGGTCATAATGAAACTTGATATACATGTTCTTCAAAGATGAAGTTGTGATTATTGTATTGTATTATATAAGTCATTCTAAAATATAGGAACCAAATAAGCTTGAACCTTTACCTTTAAGAACAGATGTTTTATCCGTGCACCTTTTCTGTAAATTGAAAATCATTCCCAAGTAAACATTTATTTAATTAAAAGAAAAAGATGTTTTGTATTCTCGATCCTACAGTCAGAGTAGGATAGAAAAAATTGCAATAGTCTTTTACATTTGTTTGAAAACATTTTGCAAAGGATTATATCTTATTTCATCTGATTTCCTGCAAAATCTCTGAGATACGGAGTAGAAGAAAGAGGGAGATTAATATTTGTGAGAGCTTGCTTTGTGATCATCATTTATCATCCAGCTAATACTTGAAGCTTACTGTGTACCAGGCATATTTGGTTCTTAAGGTAAGTCCGTGAAATGGGTGGTATATTTATTTGTATTAGTCAAAAATACTTTGATTGCAGGTGTCAGTAACCCACTCAGACTAGCAAAAAAGATCCTATATTGTCTCACATAGTTGGAAAGCACAACTGTGAATTCAGGGGCTGAGCAGAGGTAAGGTGTCCGTTTCTTTATCATGACATTTGTGTGTGGCCTCATGTAATCATAGCTCTAGGGTGATATTTCAGCAGCATGGACCAGTTGCTGAGGTGAGGGGTGTGAAACTGTTGGCTGGGCCTGCTCACCTGCTCGTGGGCCAGGGACTGAGATGCTTGTTGGCAGCTGCGGCAGAATCATATGGAATGTGGGGAGGGGCATTCCCCTAAGGAAGTGGGGCTGCTACCTGAAGAAGAGAAAAAGAGATACTGGGCAGGCAAATCTAAATGGCCTCCACATTCCCTTTTTCAGTTGAGAAAATGTAGACTCAACAAATCACCTGCCCAAAGACTTGTGGCTGTTCTATGAGCCCAGATTTGCCTTAACTCCTAAGACCAGCTTCCACAATACCGTGTTGCCAGCAGGCATTACATTCCAGTTCTATAGTTGAGAAAAATAAGACCCAGGGAAAGTGGTTTGGTCTTTAGTGTGGTTCAGTCAATAATTATGTGACCCTGGACAACTTTGTGCAATTTTGTTTTTTACCTGTCAAATAGGTAAAACTGTACTTGCTTCATTTAATTGTTTTAAGGGTTAAATGGGTTACAGTATAGAAATCCAGTGCCTGGCATGTAACAGGTGACTGGTAAGAGAGAGTTTCTGCTTTTTCATGATGTGGTGCCTGGACCCTAAGCAGCAGCAGCAGCATTTGCTGACTTATTAGCATGTAACAAGGTTCCCAGGCCCTGCCCCAGACTTACTGAATCATAAACTGCAGGGGGATCAAGCAGCCTGGGTTTAACAAACCCGTCAGGGGGTCTGACACCACCGTGTGAGAACCTCTGTTCCAGCCATTGTGTTCCATTTCCCTTCAGGTTCCTGAGGAAAAAGAGCATGATGAGTAGGGTCCTGGGTTCTTTTACCCTGTCTCCTATTCCACCCAGAATGGTTCTGCTCTGTTCTCTAAGCACAGACTCTGGAGCCAGACTTCCTAGGTTTAAATCCTGGCTCTGTCACTTACCGGCTGTTTGACATTGACAGCTTCTTTCTGCCTCGTTCTTTATCTGTATGGTTGGCATGAAGAGTAGTCATCCCATAAGGGTTGTCAGGATTTAAAGAGGTATGTGTGAAGTGTTTAGAACCATGCCTGGTACATAATATGCATTAAATAAATTAGCTATTACTACAACTTTTATCATCATACCAACTGTTCTGTAAGATTATTGTTTTTTTTCTGTTCTGGTTCTTTGGGAGCTATCTTTGGGCCCATAGGAATTCAAGTTGTGACTAAAATGCAAACTGATGTTTTGGTGTCTGGTTCGTATTGGATACTAAAATGGAATGTCTTTTGTATACTTTTTATAAACTAGGAAATTTCTCCTCTTCTCTCCATGGAAGCTATGGCATTTGTTACTGAAGAGAGGAAACTTACCCAAGAAACCACTTATCCAAATACTTATATTTTTGACTTGTTTGGAGGTGTTGATGTAAGTAGTTGTTTACTACTTAATGGTTTGAGAATTTAACTCTTGAAAGTGGAGGCAGGAAACATACATTTCAGAATTTATAGCAAACATTTTAGAATTTTAATCTTAAGCTCAGTGACAGTCATCTGTGTTGAAGCACCACGGATTTTACATTAGAAGAATCGATTTATTTGAATTGATAATATACCTGCATTTTTTTTTAAAGTACAGTGTGAATGGTGTGTCTCCCACTTCCCCCTGTCCTCTCCTCAGAGAAGCTATGATTAATAGTTTCTTCTGTGTCCTTTCAAAGATATTCTGTGGTAATGTATGTGTGTGTGTAAATAACCCCCACTACCCCTACCTTAGAGTTATTTTCTTCCCACACAGAGGAGGCATACCTTACATACAGATACGCTGCTATTTATCTTGCTTTTCCTGTAGAATTTTCTAGCTTGGAGAGATAGGTTCATTTCAGTACGTGGAAATCTGCCTTATTATTTTAAACAGCTATACCCCCTGATATAATTACACTGTACTTTTTTTACCCAGGCCCCAATTGATGGGCATTTAGAAATCTCTCACGCCTTTCTTGTTACAAAGTTGCAGTAAAGGTTTTTGTGCTTGTGGCTACATACCTTGGGGATCAAAGAATATGTGTCTTTTATTGTATATAAACTTGTTAATTTACATACTTAAGAGGTTTTTATCAACTTATATTCCTAGTAACAAAGTATAACAATGTCTATCCATACCATTTTCAACACAGTGTGCAAATGTATGTTTTTATGGGTTTGTTGTTGAAGTATAACTTACAGAAAAGTATACCAGTAATTACCACAAAATGAGTTCACCTTTCTCACTACCACCCAAATCATTAAATAGAATGTTACCAGCAACCAGTAGCCTCCTTTATCAAACAGTGTTTTTTTAAGTATTTTAAATATTTACTAGCAGATATGAGAAAATCAGTACTTTGGGTTTTTTTTTTAACAGCTTTATTGAGATGTACTTCATATACCATACAAAGAGTATAATTCAGTGGTTCTTAGTGTATTCATAGATATGTGCAGCCATCACCTCAGTCAATTTTAGAACATTTTTATCACCCTGGAAAGAACTTCCATGTTTTTAGCCATCACTGCCCCACTTCCCCAACCTCCCCACCCATCACAGACAACTATCACTCTTTCTTCTATCTCTGTGGATATCCCTGTTCCAGACATTTCACATGGGTGGAATCATGTCTTTTGTTACTGGCTTACTTCATGTGGCATAATGTTTTCAAAGTTTATCTGTGGTGTAGCCTGTCAGCCCTTCATTCCTTGATATGGTTGAATAATATTCCATTGTAGGCATATCCTGTATTTTGTATATCCATTCATCAGTTGCTGGACATTTGGGCTTCTACCTTTTGGTTGTTATGAATAATATCACTCATATGTGTACAAGTTTCTGTATGGACATAATGTTTTCATTTATCTTGGATATATACCTAGAAGTGAGGTGTCTGGGTTATATGGTAGCTCTTTGGTTTAATCCTTTGAGAACCCATCAGATTGTTTTCCAAAGCAGCTGCACCATTTTGCATGCCCACCAGCAGTTGGGGGTTCTAATTTTTCCACATCCTCATCAATTTTTGTTATTATCTGTGTTTTTGACTTTGGCCATCCTAGTGGGTGTGAAATGGTATGTCACTTGGTTTTGATTTGCATTTTCCTAATGGCTAATGGTATTGAGCATCTTTTTATGTGGGTATAGGTCATTTGTATATCTTCCTTGGAAAAGGGTCTCCTTTTCCCATGTAGGTTGTTTTTGTTATGAGTTCTTGAAAGTTCTTTATTCTCTTCATATTCTTTAAAGTTTGCATCCTTCTATGAGTGAGATTGAATATAATTTCATGTATTTATAATTCGTTCCTTCCCTGTCAATTGTCTGTTAGTAGCTTTTGCATCCTTTTCTATTCAGTTATAAGGCATTTTTCTTTCTGATTTTTTTGTCTTTGTTTGGACTGTTAAAACAAACCATCACAGAAATACATCTCTTGTAGTTCTGGAGGCTAGGAAGTCTAAGATCATGGCCCTGGCAGATTCGGTGTCTGGTGAAGGTCCCTTCTGGTTGCCAACTGCCAGCTTCTACCTGTGTCCTTATGTGGTAGAAGGGACTGGGAATCTCTTTGGAGCCTCTTTTATAAGGGCATAGTCCCATTCATGAGGGCTGTGCCCTTACAACTTAATCACCTCCCAGTGGCCCCACCTCCTAATGCTATCACACTGGGCACTAGGATTTAACATGCTAATTTTGGGATGACAAACATTCAGGCTATAACAGTTTGTAAGTACTCAGTTTTTAGAGGTCCTTTGTCATATATGGTGGGTTTTCTTTTCCTAGTTTGAGAATTTTGACTTTTTGGTACTTTTAAATGTAGTCAACTTTTTTTTTTCCCCCGGGAGAGAGAGAGAGAGAGCAGGGGAACAGAGAGACAGAGACAAAGAGAGAGAGAGGGCAGCCTAAATGTAGTAAACTTTTAAAGGCTTACTCTTTAGGTTGTCAGATTGATCTTTCCTTTTATGGCTTCAGAGTTTCATTTCTTGCTTTTCCCACTGTTGGATTATAAACTGTGTCTGTTTTTCCTTCTAAAATTTTAAAGCATCAGCCAAAGCCTTTATTCCTTAATCGTTGCTCAGCATTTCCTCTCCTCAGCAGTTCTTGTGGTCCTATGGCATTTATTTACTGGCCAGCTTGAGGGACCCTTCATTTCTGAATCATTCATCAAGGAAACCAGTCTGTTTATGGGAGGAAAAAGAATAACATGAGTGTCTAGCCTCATGTCTATTTGTGTTGAAAATGTGGCTTTCTTTTGCAGGTGCCTGTCCTGTTTTAGGCCATCTTTGAATCAACAGTTCTTAATTTTGTGGGATTTTTCTCTTCTGCTCTGAGTTAGATTAACTTCTCTAGGAATCTCAGTCTGTTCATAAATACAGGCTTTTGCTTGGGTGATTTTGCTCTTCAATAACCTTTGGTTGGGTGCATATTCCCTTGTCATCTTGCTCCTGAAAGTATTTCAGGCAGAACTCTGCTAATCTCTACCAAGGCCCCAAAGAACCCTGTCTTCAATACGCTGCCTAGAGCTCAGCCAAATTGGAATAATGGGCCACACTGGTGTCTAAACACTCCCTGTCAGCTTGACTGAACCCCCAACATGACAGTGAAAACAATATCCTAGAGTCTGTAAAGTGAAATGCTTATAGGCTCTAGTTCACAACTTGCTGTAGTGAAGCAGGTCCAAAGATGATCCATGTAAATTAAATGACTACAGGGACTGTGGAGAATTGGAGAGTTCCTGCTTTTATGGGGAAATGACTTTCACCCCCATTGACTGTTGCCCTGAGAGATACGAGAAATCTAGATTCTTATGTAAAATCTCCTAGCTATTCAACAGATGTGGACCAAATGAACTATATCTGTGGGTCAGGTGTAATCCAAACTTGGCATTCAGGACTTTTAATTTACTCATTGGCATAGTCCATCTTCCTTCTGTAGTGAATTTAAGTATAATAAGCATATTCTATGCTCTGTGTGTCTTATGTCTTTTCGGATGATTGTGAAAAGTGGGACATCTCTTTTGAAAAGTATGTAGTGTGGCTCAAAACCTTAAGGATCACTACTCATTTTGCCCTGTTTATTCCATATCTGTGCATGAGTCTCTCATGAGGACATAAGTCAAAATGAGGTAAAGTTTTGTATGCAAAGATGCTAAGTGTAGCATTATATAAAGTTGCTAAAGTATCCATTAGGAGGAAGCTAATTTTTGTCTCTGAGGTCAGTAGTGATATTGTTTTTCTCTGTTATTTTTTATTCTCCTAAATGAGTTTCCGCTCTCATCCCTATTATTTCCTCTCTCCTGATTGTTTTGGGTTTGGTTTGCACCTCTTTTTTCAGCATCTTAACATAGAAGATTAGTTATTGGTTTGAGATAATTATCTTTTTGAAATATATGCATTTACAATTATAAATTTCCCTCTCTAAGTACTCCATTAGCTATATTGTAAGTTTTGGTATCTTTCTCTATCTCAAATTATTTTCTAATTTCCCTTGTGATTTTTTTCTTTGACTTATTATTAAGATGTTTTTTAATTATCCAGATTTGTAAATTTCCCTTATTTTTTTCTGTTAGTGATTTCTAATTCCTTCCCATTATGGTCAGAGAACATGCTTTGTGTATAATTTCAATCCTTTTACATTTATTAAGGCTTGTTTTATGGTCTAACATATGACCTATCCTGGAGAATATTCCATGAATGCTTGAACAGAATGTGTGTTCTGCTGTTGTTAGCAGAATGTTCTATAGATGTCTGTTAGAACTTGTTAATTTATAGTGTTCAAGTTTGTTTCTTTGGTGATGCCTAGTTGTCTGTCCATTATTGAAAGCAGGGAATTGGAGTGTTCAACTCTGTTAGAATTGTCTGTTTTCTTCAGTTCTGTAAACTTCTGCTTCATGTATTTTGAGGTTCTGTTGTTAGGTGTGTATGTGTTTGTAATTGTTGTATCTTCTTGATGGACTGACCTTTTTATCATTATAAACTTTCTTTGTCTCAGCAGAATGGGTTTTAAAATGTGTGCCTATTGTTAACATTTTAAGCAAAATTTTATGTTCCATTTAAAGTATGTAAAATGAAAAATGAATGCATATCATTCTCAGCTCCTGTTAAAATCAGTATTAACAGTTTATGGTGTTTTTTTGAGATTATTTTATAAACTTACATTTATGAAAGAATACAATTGTTCTTTAAACAAAAGAGGAATCAGAGTGATAATGTTCTGCAGCTTTTAAAAAATTAAAGCCACATTGGATCCCAGAGAGTATGTAATCTAACACGCTTATTTTTAAAAATGAGAAAACTGAGCCATGGAGGGACATTGACATGCCCAGGTTTACATGGGGAATAGTTGGCTGGGCTGCAACTAAACCCAGGTTTCCTGACACTTGGGACAGTGCTCACTCCTCTGAACCTCACCACCCTCTGCCTGTGTTGGGAACAAGTGGGTCTTTTAGCATTGTGACAGCTATTTGGGCCAGGAGTGGCCATGGCAAAGATTGTTTTGTAAGTTAATGCTTTCAATTACTTTTGAAGATTTTATCAAAAAAAAATTTTTTTTTTTAAAGCTCCTTGTAGAAATTCTTATGCGGCCTACAATCTCTATCCGGGGACAGAAACTGAAAAGTAAGTATACTTGTCAGCCACTTGTCTTCATTTCCCAACCTGCTAATATGACTCTAGTTGCCAGGAGTTTTTCTTCTTTCTCTTCCCAACTCTTTAACAGTGAGGATGTGCCCTACATTCACAGGACTCTCTCTCCATTCCTAACTAAGCATCTCTCTTTATTCATCTTTTCCTAGGTGGAAATGCAGATCTGATGCTTTAAAAACAAAACAAAACATGAAAACCACTGGGCTAAAAGTATTATCCTTTTATAGTTTCTAATAGTTCTTAGGCCCAGCTTTTAAGTTTTCTTATTTCTTATATATAGTTAATTGATGGAATAAGGAATAATGACCTCATAAGATTATTTATTGCTTTCTTTTTTTAAACCCTGTTTTTGTTATGAAGGTAATATATTCTCTTTGTAAAAAGTTCAGTCATTACCAGAGAGTGTATGGTAAAAAGTCTACATGTTTTGGTCGCACATTATTTCTTAAGCTGGGTGGTGGGTATATGGCTATTATTTTGTCCTTCCTTATAACTTATACATGATACAAATACTATTTTTAGGTATTCAGTATTTAATTTTTTTAAAAAAGTAAGTGCACTTTACTTTGGCATTAAAGGCCAGAGATCACTTCAGTTAACATTTGATGAACGTCCTTCTACAAAGATCACATGTATTTTTTTTTTCCCCCTGAACATGACTTACTATCAAAGGCCTTGTTTGTCTATATAGTAGTGATTAAGAGGATTCATATTCATCTTTGATGTGTCAGCTTTGCACTCTATCTAAATTGGTTCTTCATGTTGTCTGTAAGTAGCATCTCGTAGTTATTTGTTGGTGTACTTATTTATTCTCCCTCCCTCACCTCTTGGTGTTTAAGTTCAATAAGCCTGAGAAGTGGTCTTTTTTTTTTTTTTTTTTTTTTTTTTTTTTTTTTACTAATTACTGTGTGTTCTGCATCTGCTCTAGAGTAGGTGCTGAATAAATATTTGATGAATGAGTTAATTCCAATTACCTTTGAAAATGAAAGATCTAGAAATACTGAGATACACTGATCTGGTAGTCCAAGCTCTGAGGTCATGAAATAAATGAACAAACCAAAAAGCCTCCGTAGGTTGAAAAGTAGTGATGGAGGGATACAGGACATCTACATTGTGTCAAGATTATATCAGGTACCCTTCTGGTCAAGCTAGCTTGTCAGGGTTTACCTATTGGGCTCTCAGAGTGTGACCTAGTATTTTAGAGTTTATGTCAGCATAGGATTGAATGGAAATAGTTTTGAAAATAAAACTAATGTGAAACAAAACACTTTGTCCCTGGTTCATACACATTTTTCCCATCTCCTTGTTTTCCAGTCATGAACATTTAGCTTCCTTTTTGTGGTGCTCTCCTTTTCCTGCCCAGAGAAGTAGCTAGTTCTTCATTAGAGTTAGAAGGCCAGACTTTAAAAGCTGTTTCCCCAACAGAAATAACAAAGAACAAAGCAAAAACACTCAATGAGTCTGAAATAAAATGATATCCTTGTTTGCTGCTAGGAAACTGTCCATGAAAATGTTTAAGAGCAATAAAGATGCTTATACTTTGGATTCCAGAACTGCTTTTGGAAATGTATCTTGAGGAACCAATTCAGCACAGACATAAAATGTCTACATACATACATATGTACATATATATATATGTATAGTTATTTTTAGTCTATTTAAATAGCAAGAAACCCCCAAAACTCTGCATTATGTTCCAGGCAAGCTGCAGGGAAGCAAGGCTTATTAAGTGATGATACTACAATAGGTTGAAATTATGAAGTCTGTGGGGTATAATAAGAAAATGACTACTATATCATACCAAAAACAGAATACAAATTGGTGTGTAGATTCTGATGGGCACCATGAAAACCTTTGGTAAACATGGACTGAAAGGAGTTGTGCTAAAAGGAAAATAACCATCTTGGAGGGGATTGTAACAATTCTTAATGTTCAAAAATTTAATTCTGTTATGCAGTCTTTTCAATGAAGAAAATAATCAATTATTTCCCTTTCACTTTCAGTAAGTGATGAAATGTCTAAGGACTGTTTGAGCATCCTGTATAACACCTGTGTCTGTGTAAGTATCTCTGCCCCTGAGGCCCCACTTCCCTCACCACATCTGCACTGCTTGAGAAGGAAAGGTCCCGGTGGGAGTGCTAAATAGGAGAGCTATCTTCAGATGCTGGGGAAGTGGACTTACTTTATGTGTGCCTGAAAATCAGGACCAACAGCTAAAAACTGGGGGTGTCAGAATGTCATAGTAATTGTTAAGAGCCAGGGCAGCTATAGCAGGTATTGAACATATTTAACCCTGAAGTTGTCCGAGCAGAGACTGAGCAGTTACTTGTCAAATGGACACAAAGGTTGGAATCTTCAAGATCTCTTTTAACCTCATTCTGCCTGTTCCTTCATTTTCCTTGTTAGAAACAAAGCAAGAATCAGATGGCCCACCCATACATTGAGAAGAACTCTTTAGTAGGTTGACCACTGAGTAAGAAAGAATGTTGAATAAAAGAAGCAGTTTGGTAGAAAGAGAAGAACATAGCACTTAGTGCTGACCTTGATTTTTGGTTCTGGCCCTTGGCTTAGTGCTGATTAATTCATATCCCTGAACTTTAGTTTCTGTATCAGTAGAGTCCAGTTATAATCATACTAACATCATAGTGTGGTAAGGACTAAATGAGATAATAGACATGAAAGTGCTTTGTAAAGCCACATGCAAATGATGGTTTTTACAAGACACAGTAGCTGTCTTTTAGGAACTTATACGGTAAACTCTTAAGTTCCTAGTAAACAGCGAATCATAATGCATGGCAGAAGGAAACAAATGCTGTTCTAAAAGTGAAACCTGTATACTATGAAAATGCAGAGGAACATTTAATTCCTTTTTCATTTCTAGTCCCATTCAAAGAAAGATTTCAGGTATCTTGTTGGAGTATGTAAAAATCTACCAAGATCACAAATTTAGAAGTAGGTAGGAAAGAAAGGATAAAACAAGGTGAGGGCATAACATGCATCCAGGAGGTGGGTTTATCATAAAATCATCTCTACTATGCATGGGGCACAAATTTGGGTTTAAGTTTATCAACCAACACAAATAAGGAAATATGTCTCAACACTTACACAGCTCAGCATCTGTAACAGTGCTGTGCAGTAGGATTATAAGCCACTTACGTCATTTTAAATTTAACTGTAGTCACATCTTTTAGAAAAAAAGAAAAGAAGTAGAAAGAAATAGGTCAAGTTAATTTTAATACTGTATTCTATTTAACACAGTATGTCAAGAATATTATTCCAACATTTAATCAATATAAGTAATTATTGAGATATTTATACTTTTTTTGTACTAAGCTTTCAAAATCCAGTGTATTTTTTTATGCTCAGAGCACATCTCAGTTGAGGCTAGCCACATTTCAAGTGCTTAATAGCTACATGTAGCTAATGGCACAGGTAGGCGCAGACAGACCTATAAGATAAAAGCAAACTAATTGTTCAGGTAATGCACAATTATTCTTGCAATTAAGGCCAGTAAGAAGTTGTCCTTGTAAAAAAAGATGAGGTATGTATGATGTAATGACTCCGTCATTGGCAACATCCTTAGTCACTAGTTTTATGAGCATGTTTGTTAATGACACCTAATGTTAGTCAGTGATAATATGGTAAAACAGGTCAATAAACAAAAATAAAAGGGAAAGAAGAAACAAAAAATAAAGAACATAGGATGATATGGCTAAATTCCAGGTTAGGTGGCTTTTAAGAGTTGCAAACCCCAGTGTCTCCAGGGATCAGCCAGAAAACAAGAAATATTTGAAGTTAGCTATTTTGCAGTGTGGACTTGTACAAATTGTGACTAGCCTGGAGTGAGCATGTCCTGCCTAAGGACATTTAATTCAAAATTTAAAAGGTACTGCTGGCCAAATAAAACTAACCTACTGGATGCTAGTTTGCTTCTCCTGATCTAGATCCTTGGCAGATAATAAATAGGTCAAGAAACTATGATGAATACTTAAAAAAAAAAAAAGAACTCTCCCCAGAAAAATGCATTTGCACACATTTTGTATATAGTTTTAGGGATTTAAGGCCTCAGCCAAGAATTCCTGATGTAGTGTGGAACTGCTTTTCCAGTATCTGGGAGGGGTATCTTGCTCTTCACATTTTATTTTGTAGTTATAGCCTATTCTGTGTTTTCTCTCCATTTCCCTTGTGATAGACGGAAGGAGTTACAAAGCGTTTGGCAGAAAAGAATGACTTTGTGATCTTCCTGTTTACACTGATGACAAGTAAGAAGACATTCTTACAAACAGCAACCCTCATTGAAGATATTTTGGGTGTTAAAAAGGTGAGCTGTGTCCTCCAGCAGGTGGCTGACCAGATTTGGGGTGGGGGGAGGTATCTCAGACAGTTGGAATCTCAAACCTGAGTAATGTGCAGAGCCCTTTTAAAAGAAAAATTCTTTCATACTCTTAGTGTTGATGTAAATTATTTTCTGTTACTTAAATAAATTCAAGTATAAAACTAAGACTTCTTATGTTAGTGGGCCTTAAGTAACTTTAAAGCCTAAACAAATAAATTGTAATCAAACTAATTATAAAACTCAGAAGTTCAGATTGATTTTGTGAATTTAATGTGATGGCTAATGTTACTTTACCAAAATCAGATTGCCCTCACAAATTATTATGCTGTAAGGTCTTTTTAGCATACCTATTCTTTATGCTGTGTGATGGTTTCATTCTCTTTATGTGAACCGCAGTCAAACTGTCATTCATTAGGATATGTTTCCTTTGATGCTGATGTTTGGCTTTCATTTAAGTTCACCTTTTTTTTCATCATTAGTCTTCAAAAGTTAAAAGTTTTGTTGACACCAACATAGAAGACAAAAATTTGAGCACTGAAATCTTGCCACTCGGCCATAAGGTGTACATTCACATGATCCAGAATATACTTCTTTAAAAAAAGAAAAACTGTGATTGAAATGAAAATAATAAAGTAAAAATGTATCACTGAAAACTCACAGACCCCCCCAAAACACATCCATAGACCTCTGTTAGAGAATCACTATATTAGATTTTTGGTGTAATGCTTGTGAAGACCTGGAGCTTACTTCCCCTTGTCCCATGTCTCCATGTTGGTCACAGATTGGCAGATTTCTTCCTCTTACTACTGAGGAGGCAGGAGAAGCCTCTTAGAGTTCCTGTTGCAGGAAAGAGGCTACCCGTGTGTATCGTGGTTACCCCAGTTTTTATTTCTATCTTTCTGCCGCCCTTTTCCCCAGGCCCTGCTTATCATGCCCCAGGCAGAAGATGCACAAGGGGCCCATTGTCTGCAGGGACACACTGGAGATGTGTGTAGGTCCCAGACAGACCCTTTGTGCCCTTTGATAAAAAGGCTTTGTTAGTTTTCTAATAATTGTTTCTGCAGCCAGTGTGTGAGAGGGGGCTTCCAGGGCGGAAACTCCACAGGCTCCCTGGCAGTCTCAGCATAGTCTCGGATTGCTCCTTTGTAACTTTTCCTGCTTGTGTCTCATGTCCTCTCACTCCCTTGTACCTTTCTGTTTTGCCAAAAATAGTGATGAGTTCTGCTAGACGTTATTGGTACCTTGGTGCAGTTTGAAAGGGGAACAGACACCATAAAGAAAGTGGGAACTAGTTTCTTACTGATAGACATTTAAATAATTTCCAACTTCTTAAAAAAAAAAAAAAAGTGGGAACCCAAGCCACAAACTGGGAGAAGATACTCGCAACCCACATGCAACTCACCAAAGATTAGTGTTCAAAATTTATCAAGAATTCTTACAAATGAGCAAGATAAAGACAAATAGCCCAGTAGAAAAATGGGCAATGATAAGAGTGAACATTTTACAGAAGAGGCACAAATGGCCCGTAAACATAAAGAGAAGATGTTTAACTTCTTTGATAATCAGGGAAACATAAATCAAAACCACAGCGAGAGGGAGGGAGAGCAGGCGCCCAGGAGTGTGCGAGAGACCCAAGCAGGTGCTGGTGAGAATGTACATGTTGGAAACACTTGTTTTTGCCGATAGCTTTTTATATCAGCAGAATGTATTTATCTTTTTGTTTTCTAGTTGAACATGTGCATCCCCTGTGACCCAGCACCTAAGGGAAGCACTGTCCTCAGGGCTGAAGCATCAGTATTGTGGCCTGGGTCACCTGTAACCTACGCCCAGGCACACTTGTGGAGAAAGCTCAATCCCAGAACAATGATTCTTAGAAATGAAAACACTAAATGGAAGCCAGAGGTTGTGAAATTAATTCAGTGGGTCTACCAGTTAAATAGAAGAGATTAGAGTGTATTGTGTAAGGGTATTGTTTGATTAAATTTTTGTTTCATATGTATACATTTACGTATGTATGTTTATTGTGTTGTGATGGAAAATTTATTTCTTATTCTTGGACATGTTAGAATGGTTGGAAGCCACTGTCCCAGAGAAACTTATGCACATGTGCTTCAGGAAACACTAAGAACATTTATAACATTATTGTTTCAGAGCAAAAACTGAACCAAGTCTAAAATCCATCGACAGGAAAATGGATAAATGTACTCTCTTGACACAGTGGAATATTATAAAGTAGTGGACTGTTGCTGTAGGCAACAACATAGCTGAGTCATAGAAATTACTGATAGAAGTCAGCTGCAGAAGACTGTACCATTGACCCTTGAATAACATGGGTTTGAACTGTGCAGTCCACTTATATGCAGATTTTTAAAATAAGTATATTGGAAAATTTTTTGTAGATGTGTAACAATTTGAAAAAAAGTTTTCCTTTAGCTGTATTGTAAGAATATAGTACATTACATATAGTATATAAAATATATATGTATTAATCATGTATAAATATGTATTAATCAACTTATCAGTAGGCTTCTAGTTAACAGTAGGCTATTTATTAGTTTTTAAGAAGTCAAAAGTTATATGCATATTTTTTACTGTGCCAGGTGTCAACATCCTTAGCTGCTGCATTGTTCAAGGGTCAACTCCATATAGTATATCATTTTTATAAAGCTCAAAAATACAGAAATTCAAATCATATATATTAAACAGCAAAGCAGTAATAAAATTCAGGATGCTGGTTACCTTGGGCAGAGAGGCAGGGAGATATGATAGGGAAGACACATACAGCTTTTGACTTTGTTGCTTTATGACATGTTATATGTATCAAATACTAAGTCAATATAAATATAATGCAAAGAAGTGGTCTTGGAGGGTTGTGGGACCTGTTTACCTGACCCATACACTAAGTTCAGGGCTAGAGGAACTGATGAACTGAAAATCAGTTTCCAGTGGTAACAGTAGCTACTATTTGTTGTGACTGGGGAAGGGGAAGGGGAAGACAAAGGCAGAGGAGCTATTCCCAAATACTCCCTCCACAGCAAACTTCTGTCCTCCATTACCAGAAACAGGAATGGGATCCATGAGGCCTTCTAGGAATCTCCACTCATTCAGTACACATTTACCAACACCCTCCTTACCAGGTCTTATGCATTGAGGCTCTGGAGAGAAGGTAAGACACACCCCTACCTCCAGACAGTAGCAGTTTATTTGAAATAGATGCAGGAACAGATAATTATAAGATCATACAACACATGCAGTGAAAGAGAAAGCCCAATCCAGTGGAAGTTAAGTAAATTAGTAGAATGAAGGGTAACAGATACTATTTGAGGAACATAAGGATACTTCAGAAGGAAAGGGGCTCATGTAATGTGCAACATTTGCAGATTTTAAGAAAGAAAAGCAAAATAGAACATAACCAAATAAAAATCATTTCATAAAATTCAATACTTATTCATAATAAAAGCTAGGAATTGAAGGAAAATTCCTTAACTTGATATAGCATATCTAATAAATTTTACTGAAGACATCAAATTTAATGTTGAAACTTTGGAAATGTTTTTATTAAAGATAGGAAAAAGGCAAGAATGCATGCTATCACTTGCTCTAGATAATTGGTTACATGTGTATGTACACAAGGAGACATCTATAGGAATGTTCATTGCAAATTATTAGTGAAAAATTACAATTCCAACATACATATAAAGAGAATAATTAAATGTGAAGTAAAACTGAAAAATGAATGAACTAGAGACTAGAGCTACTTATATAAGTGTAGTTAAATCTTAATGTTGACTAAAAAGTAAGGTTATTTAATTTAAAAGCATTCACAATATGCATGTAGAACAGTATCAGATATTCAGATATTTTAATGGAAATATTTGTAACTGTAAAAACATGCATGGGAATAATAAACACATTTCAACTTAATGGTTATCTCTGGAGAGAGAAAAGGGTCTGCAATTGGGTGAGATATATGAGGGCTTTCAGCTATATTTAAAACAATTTATTTCTTCAAAAGAAAACATCTGTAATAAGAATTGAAATTAATGACTAATAAAACTGGAATGGTAAGCATCTTTTTTAAATGGACAAAATGAGCCACATGAGCAAAGGTAGAGAATAAGAATGGGGTGCTCAATGAGTTTAATCCTCAGACCAGTCCTATGAGGTAGGTTAATCCCATTTGACAGTTGAATAAAAAGAGACTTAGAGAGGTCCCTTAACTTAACCTAAGTTTGCACAGATGCCATTTGCAGAGCCAGGATTTGAACCTAAATGATCTAGTGACCAATCCGTATTCTTAGGGGAATATAGAGGAGGGGCATGTTCAATCTCAAATGAACTGAGCGGGGGGATTGTTTTATTTGTGTCTTCCGTAGGAAATGATCCGACTAGATGAAGTCCCTAATCTGAGTTCCTTAGTATCCAATTTTGATCAGCAGCAGCTTGCTAATTTCTGCCGGATTCTGGCTGTCACCATTTCAGAGATGGATACAGGGAATGATGACAAGCATACGCTTCTTGCCAAAAATGCTCAGCAAAAGAAAAGCTTGAGCTTGGGACCTTCTGCAGCTGAAATCAACCAAGGTAAAGTCTCTGGATTCTCAGAATTTTGAGATTATAGTTCTGAGTCCCCATCCTAAATCATCTAGTTCTTTGAGTATCTCTAAAGATTGATCCAGGTGAGGGCTGATAGGGCATATAATTTATATGTTAAATTTATATGTGTGTAAGTGTTCATTATTTTGGGGGGCCAAGTCCATAACTTTCATCAGATTTTTGGACCTAGAACCTCAGAAAAGTTAAGAATGATTATTTATTAGAATTACAAATACATATACCTTTAGATCCACTAAGACTCTTCTCTGCTGGGCCTTTATCCTATAGATATATAGGATATGGTGTGTATTTAAGGTTACTCATTACAATATTGTTTATAACAACAAAAGACTGGTAACGTTAGCAATAGACTACCTAATATAGCTTTTAAGAAAAGGAATAAAGATCATCTCTATGTACTGATACAGAAAAATCTCCAAGATACATTAATTGTAAAGAGGAAAATGCAGAACTATGTGTATAGTATACTTTTTGTATTAAGGTGGGGGAATAAGACCAAATGCATTTTTTTGTTGATACACAGTATGCACACAGTATACACAAGAGGCCTAAAGTGGTTACATCTTAGGAGGTGGCTAGAAACTGGATAAATGACAACAGCATAAGTGGAACTTTTTAGTGCATTATTTTATATATTGTTTTATTTTAGAACCATGTGACTATATTAATTATTAAATAAGAAAATACTTGTCTGGCCCATTTACCCCACCGGTAGCCTTTTGTTAGCAAAAAATAATATTTTCTATTGATAAAGTGTCTTGGCCTAAGCAGGTTTCAGGGAAACTGGGCATATATCTGATTTGGTTATAAGAATATATGATACATATTCAAATAAAATATTTATGTGTCTTAAAAGCTAGTTCTTGAGCATTAATAGACTATAAAAACATATTGCTGTGCACTTTACAGTTAACCCAATAACCAAGGTGAAATAATGAACACTTATAATTAGAAAGCAGCAGGAGAAAAAAGATGGCAGAGAAGGAAGGCAAGGTGGAAACCTCCTCCCAAAAACACATAAAACATGAAAATACAGCAGATACAACAAATGACCTGAAGACTGCAGAGCTGACTACCTACATCTGGGGAAGAAGAGAAGACCTCACAGAAAAGGGTAAAGTGGCAAAGCTGATCAGTTGGGACCCAAGCCCTCCTCCTGCCCCAGCCCACAGGCAGGAGAAAGAGAAATGGAGTAGGGAAGAAGTAGGAGCCCAGGGTTGCTGAACACCTGGCCCTGGAGATCTGCTCCAGAAGCACGAGCCCATATTACATAGTGTTCTGGTGAGTAGCGGGGCTGGACAACAAAGACAGGTGAAACATTCAGGGAGGCTGAGCTCAGCTCTTACGGAGAATAGGCATGCTCACCTGTCCCCCTGAAACAAAAGCAAAGCAGGCAGTTTGAAAGACTTGCCAGCAACAGGAGAAGTACTAGAGGGGCTAGTGTTAGATGGAGCTCTCTTTTCAGGACAAAGGGTAGGTGGATGATACCTCCCCAGTCTGCCCTTGGCCACACAGATCAGGAACTCTTGGGATCCATGGATGCTTAGTCCCCCTCACAGGCAACTGTGTGCTTGGCCAGCAGACAACCCACTTGGCCCAGCAGTAGTGTCAGACTTTGCTGCTAGATAAGCAGAGGGAGACCCTCCCAGCTTTCTTGGCTCTATTTCAGCACAGCTGGGGAGGTGCCTGCAGGAGCCAGTTCCAAGAGCTTCTTCCTCCCTAAGGGCACCATATCCTGCGCAAGGAGCCTGGGAAGAGACACAGCCTGCCCACCCCATTAACCCTGCAGCCCCTGCCATTGCCTGCAGTCCAGGCAGAAAGGTGGCCCTGCTCATAGCAACTCCAGCAGAGACTTCTGTGCGGATCACAAAGGTGTGGCCAAAGCAAACTGCCCAACTAGAATCAGACCACTAGAAGCCAGACAGACAGATGGCCACAACACACACCACCAGCTGAGGCTCCCTCACTGGAAAGTGAAGAGTGTTGAGCTTCTGGGCACTAGAGGGCGCCTCCTTCATAAAGCTGTTACTCCATAGGAAGAAACAGAAGCCCTGACAAAATGAGGCAGAGGGATATGTTTCAGACACAGCTGCAAGAAAAACACCAGAAACCAGAAAGAAGGCTGAATGAAACAGAAATCACCAATCTTGATAAAGATGTCAAAGTAAAAGCCATAAACATACAGATCTACAGAAAAATACTCAAGATCTCAGGGAGGACTTCAGCAAAAAAAATAGAAGACTTGCGAAAGAGACAGTCAGAACTGAACAGTACAGTATCTGAAATGAAACATACAGTGGAGAGATTGAATGACAGATTATCACAGGTTGAAGATGCTGTAAATGAAATCGATATTAGGGAACAAGAAAACAAGCCAAAAAACAGAAAAGGATCTCCAGGAATGAAAGAATAATAAGAGAGCTAGTGTGACCAATCCAAATGGAACAATATTTGCATAATAGGGGTACCAGAAGGAGATGAGGGAGACAAAGGGATAGAAAGTCTCTTTGATGAAATAATTGTTGAGAACTTCCCCAGTCTGGGAAAGAAATAGACACTTAGGTCATAGAAGTGTGGAGAGCCCCTAACAAAAGGAACACCAGGAAAACAACACCAAGACATAAATTAAAATAGCAAAGATTAAGGATAAAGAGAGAGAACTGAAAGCAGCCAGAGAGAGAAAAAAGATTATTTATAAAGGAAATCCCATCAGGCTATCAGCAGAAACTACAGGCCAGAAGGGAGTGTGGCATGATATATTTAATGTAATGAAACAGAAGGACCTCCAATCAAGAATCCTCTACCTGGCAAGATTATCATTTAAATTTGAAGCAGGGATTAAACAATTTCCAGATAAAAGTTGAAGGAATTCACCAATCCTAAGACAGCCATACAGGATATGTTAAAGAAACTGCTGTAGATGGAAATGTTCCTAAGGCTAAATAGCTTTCACCAGTGAAAATAAACCCATAGTAAAAGTAGTAGACCAATTAATTACCAAGCAAATACAAAATTAAAAAGAAGCAAAATCAACTACTCACAAAATCAGTCAAGGAATACACAAAGTGTAGGTTATGACCTCTAATAAAATGTGAAATAGGAAGAGGAAGGGGGAAAAAGGATGTTTAGATTATGTTTGAAGTAGTCAGCAATTTAAGATAGACTGTTATATAGTAAAGAAGCTATCCTTGAACCTTTGGTAACCACAAAACTAAAGTCTACAATCGAAGCCTCCCTACCCCCCAAAAAATGAAAGAGAAAGAAAAATCCAATCTCAACACTAAAGAAATCCATCAAATAACAAGAGAAGAGTACTAGGAAAAGAGGAATAGAGATGAGGTAAGAAAAAAACAAACAGAAAGCAGTTAAAAAAATAGCAATAAGTACATATCTATCAATAATCACCTTAAATGTAAGTGGACTGAATGCATCAATCAAAAGAGACAGAGTGGCAGAATGGATAAAAAAACAAGACCCATCTATATGCTAACTACAAGAGACTCATTTCAGACCCAAAGACATACACAGACCAAAAGTGAAGGGATGGAAAAAGATATTTCAAGCAAATAATAGGGAGGAAAAAGCAGAAGTAGCAGTACTTAAGTCAGACAAAATAGATTTCAAAACAAAGTAATGAGACAAAGAAGGACACTACATAATGATAAAGGGGGCAATTCAACAAGAGGATAGAACCATTATAAATATCTATGCACCCACTGTGTAAATATGTGAAACAAATGCAGAATTAAAAAGGTAATGCATTGCAACACCTTCATTTAGAAGACTTTAACACACTATTCACATCAGTAGATTAACCAGAGAGAAAATAAGTAAGGAAACAGAGGCACTTGAACAATACATTAGATCAGATGGACTTAACAGATATCTACAGAACATTCCACCTAAAAGCAGCAGGATACACAGTCTTCTCAAGTGTACATGGAACATTTTCCAGAATAGATCACATACTAGGCCACAAAAAGAGCATGAGTAAATTCAAAAAAGATTGAAATTGTATCAAGCAGCTTCTCAGACCACAGTGGTATCAAACTAGCAGTAAATTACACAAAGAAAACAAAAAAACCCTACAAACACATGAAGGCAAAACAACATGCTTCTAAATAATTAGTGGATCAATGACCAAATTAAAACAACTCAATCAATACATGGAAACAAATGAAAACAAAAACTCAACAGCCCAAAACTTGTGGGATGCAACAAAGGCATTTCTAAGAAGAAAATACATAGCAATACAGTCTTACCTCAAAAAAAAAAAGAACAATCCCAAATAAACAGTCTAAAACCACAATTAAAGAAACTAGAAAAAGAACAACAAATGAAGCTCAAAAGGTAGTAGGAGGGACATAATAAAGATCAGACTAGAAATAAATAAATTTGAGAAGAATAAAACAATAGAAAAAATCATTAAACCAGGAGCTGGTTCTTTGAAAAAATAAAGAAAATAGAAAGCCCCCTAGCCAGACTTACCAAGAAAAAAGAGTGTGAACACATGTACAGAATCAGAAACAAGGAATAATCACAATGGCCACCATAGAAATACAGAGAATTATTAGAAAATACTTTGAAAAATTATATGCCAGTAAAATAGGACAACCTAGAAAAAATGGACAACTTTAGAAAAATACAACCTTCCAAGACTGACCCAGGAAGAAACAAAAAATCTGAACAGACTATCAGCAATGAAATTGAATTGGTAATCAAAAAACTACTTAGAACAAAACTCCAAGTCCAGATGGCTTCATAGCTGAATTTTATCAAACATTTAAAGAAGAGCTAATACCCATTCTCCTTAAAGTTTTCCAAAATGTAGAAGAGGAGGGAATACTCCCAAACTCATTCTACAAGGCCAGCATCACTATAATTCCAAAACCAGGCAAAGGAACTACAAAATAAAACTACATGCCAGTATCCCTGATGAATGTAGATGCAAAAATGCTTAACAAAAT